AGGGTCACCTTGAGGAGACTGAATCAATGAAAAGCTTTGCTTCCTCTACTGATGGAATTACAAATTTGTGTTTTGAGAGTCTGTCTATTCTTTCAAGGTTATTAATCTTCATAAGTCAGATAGGATCCAGTGTCATCTCCTGTTGCTTATATAAAAATTAAATATTTTCACATAGATATGGACAGTCTCTGTAAGAGGGTCAATAAACTGATCTTTGGGGCCTCAAAATTCTGTGTTCCCTTCATAGAAATGGAACTCTTTTTTCTGTGAAAAAAAGTGGGGTGGCGACTTTTGTGTTTTGAGAACTGCAAAGAAAAGGCCATGGTAGATCACAGAGAGAAACTAAATATTGTTGGGGGGTTTCCCAGGAGCAAATAGTATCTCTTTTTTCCACTCAGGACTTCACAGTACCTTGCCTTTTGGAGAAGGAGGGGCATGTATGACTAGGAAAACACAGGGCACTAAGAATTACCATCTTGGGCCTCCCTGGTGGCACAGGGGTTAAAGACACAGCACTATCAAGCTACCGCCAACCACTGCTGCATGAGTTCGATCCCCAGCTGGCCAGGGAGCTACCCACATGGTCCAGCAGACCTCTCTTGTCTCGCCCACTGATCCTCTCAGCAGTGTATTTCACTCTGTCTGCCTGTTCTGCTCCCCACCTGTCTCTGGTGAATCCTCTCGCACACACACACCTCCATACACACCTCTGGTCTACACCCCAGTTTTTGTATACATAAATAAATAAATCTTAAAAAAAAAGAATTGCCATCGTGGGCACAAAAGGAGGTCCCTATTGAGGGATGATAATTGTTCACTTGGGGACACCTCACCACGGTTTTGACTGGCAGTGTCCATCAGATCTTAGAGGTCACCACCCAACCAGAATAAGGTGGTATTGTCAGAAGCATTTCAGACACCCAGGTTATTGCGGCTGCATTGTAGAATGACTTTTTTTATTACAATGACAGACTCTATAGATCTTGTAAGATACGTGGGCTGGAAAAGGGCCCCTCAGCAAGGAGAGGGACCTGCTTTCCATCTCGCCAGTGAGGCCAGAGCCTGTTGTTTTGCCTTAGAGATTTGACTACATTTCAGCCCTGTATCATGGGTTGGTTACAGTTAAAATGTACACTTAAATGGAGATGTAATGACTATGGAATGCAAAATCTCAGGATCACATTTATGTGTATAACTTATGAGCCCCTGTGTGTAACACATTGTTTTATAATGCTTGAAAAATCTTGAATGAATTAAATGTTTAATGGAATGGAGAGAGCCTGAGGAGTGGAACTCCCTTCTTGGAATAGGGACAGGATGAACGCTGAATTAATAGAATAAAGGGGAATATAGGGGACAATATAGTCTTGGCTTTTACCGTTCTGTTTTGACACTATTTTGTTATTCTATAGCAAATTGTCTGTTGGCATGCTGTTTCTAAATGACTGGTGGGAACTACCCCAAGTGCTGTTTTGAAAAGAATTCTGAAGTTGCAAATGGTATTATTGAAAAATACCGAATAGTCTATGTTTGTTTCAAAAGTAGCACTATTTCATTTAGCTAATTTTTTTTTTGTTTCTCCCCCACTTGGTGTGAGTGGGTAATGCCCTTCCCACCCCCAACTATAAGCAACAAGCACAGTGAGATAGAATTCACCAGAAGGGGCAGCAGACAGTTGTGAAGACAAGCTGTCTGGAAACACATTTGCAGGAACATTGGTTGGACTTGGTGTAGTGGGCATCTCCATCTACTCCCATCTCTTCTCTCCTACTTGCTCTAAAAACAGAATTTCTGGGCAGGTCAGACAGCCGCATGGAGAGAAGGACACAGAAGACATTGCAAAGACAGTGTGAGGAAGGGAGTGGAGGAATAAAAAGTGGCCCAGAGTTTACCAAGAAACCATCTGGAGAGAGAGTGCTTATCCCAATGCATGTCAAAGTCTCCCGAGTCCTGTTGAGCAAAATGAGCCATGCATGTGTCCTTGACCTAACTGGTGAGGATCCCTGAGGTATTTATTGGAAATCTCCTCAGCAGAACAGAGTCAGGGACACTTGCGTGCCCCTATGGGATTCTGAACTCACATAATAGGGACCTGTTAGCTATTCAATGGAACCGAAAGAGTGAGCTTGAGCAGTGGAGCCCTTCTCGTCAGGTGTGAAGGAACTGATCATGAGGAGTATCTGTTCCTGTAGACCCCACTATCTAAGGTCCACCTTCCATGGCTGTCAGTGCAGAAAGCTCAGAAAATCATTTGGATTCAACTCAACATTGGATTTTATATCAATAAAAGGAAGAGGATCTTGTATAACCGCCTATCCTTCTGGCTTCATCCTCGCCACTCCCTCTCAAACATTTTACTTTCTACACATGTCAAATTTGTGGTATAACTTTGTTCAGGTAAATTTGTTAGCAGAGGCAGTAATACTGACCTCGGGAAAAGGAAAGGTAGGAAACTTCACTGTAGAATCATTTGTTATTTATTTATTTATTTATTTGGGAAAAAATAGCCTGGTCTCTGTCAATCTGCCAGCAGAGGGGATGTTTTCATTTTTGAAAGAAAATCTACCAGAAATTTTAAAAATTAAAATTAAAAAATAATGCAATTTCCTAAACAACTGGGTACATTTTACTTTATATGGTGGTGCTCTGTGCAGAGAATATTTCAGAGAAGGTAGCTAAAAGTAAAGTTGTTCAAGTAAGACAGACATAAGAATGTCTCCTGTTGTCACTGCTAATGGGGCATATGACTTTTGTTAAATTACTTACCTCTTCTAAGATTGGATTGTCATTCTTTAAATGGATGCAGTGCTGTGCAGAATACATGAGAGATGCATGCAAGTGCTTAGCCTGTTTAGCCAACTGCCAGGCACTGTGAGATCGTATAAACTGGGTAATTTCTTGATGGGAATTTCTGACCCTTTGGCTATAGCCTTAAGGGTGGGAAACATCTTATCCATACAAGTGTTCAGTGCACGAGTATGCTCATTGCAGTGTGCTTGATGAGTGATTCATTAAAGATGTCCCACTGGTAAAAGTTTGTTTAGTGACTGCTATTTGATTTTCAGAAATGCAAGATGAGCATAAGAAACAGTCAAGACCTAGGGATGTTTTTCCAGACAATGGGGTTTTGGGAGCTGAGTTACTAACCTGCTCTAGTACTGAAAGCTGTGCTGGATATCTAATCCTACTCACTGGTCATCCCGATGGAAAGTTGAATTCAGGAAGCCAGGCAAGTCAGGACGTTTCTCTTTCAGAAATCTCCAGCCCTTTTTCATATGAGGCACTGGAAATGGGAGTGACTCTCAAAGACTGAGCTACAGCTTCTTGCAAAGGCAGCCATTCAGTGGTCTTGAAAGAAAAGATTTGCAAGAACATTATATGCTTATGACAGTTTACATGTGAATATTGTGTTAACGCTTCCCTGCGTATGTTCACATATTGTTGAGGAAATGTGGAATCTAAGATGAGAAATGGTAGAGATGGGTAATAGGATATGGTTGACTATGCATCTTGCAACAGAAAACCAAATGGCATTCATAAGGTAACACCTATTCACATATATATATATATATATATATATTTAAGATTTATTTATTGATTTATGCAAGAACCGGGGTACAGGTTAAATACAGGAGTATTTTAACAACAGACTCACAGGAGGGTGAGAGGATTCACCAGAGACAGAGCGGGGAACAGAACAGGCAGACTGACTGAAATACACTGCTGAGGGGAGCAGCGGGCAAGACTGGAGAGGTCTGCTGCGCCATGTGGAACCCTCCACGGCCGGCACTGCAGAGGCTGCGGACAGCTTCACAGCGCTGCCCTCAACCCGCTGTGCCACGAGGGGAGGCCCCCTATTCACAATTTTGGGGCATGCCAGGCTGTTTCCTTATTTACCCAGCAGAAGTGATTCCAGGACACGGCTCAGCTGGGCATAACTGTGTGTGTGTGTGTGTGTATGTGTGCATGTGTATATGTGTGTGTCGGTGTATATATTTATTCTCCTGTAACTTTCTAATGGAAAAACTTGATAAGAATGTAAAAACTTCTCAAATAAACTTGTACCAGTTTTCCCTTATGCATAGAATAAATCTTCATCCTCTTCTTTTTGATTCTAGTCCTTGCATACTTGATATTCTCCATCTCTAGTTCTCTTACCCATCCCCCACACTCCAAGTGTTTGAAAACGCTCTTAATTCAAATTCTGGTTTATATCGCTTTACTCATGATAAGTTTGAAGGATAGTTTAGCAAACAAACAAAAATGCTTTAAAACTCTGCCTCTGGCATCTTTCTAGCCTCAATTCCATCACGGTCTGGCCTTTCCTGTCCCACTTACTGTTAGAAATGACAGGTTCTGTGTTAATTCCCAGGGACTCTCTTTGTCAATCCTTTGCATGTACTGTGCCTTTGCTGAAAAAACTAGCCAGGACACACTCCTCTCCTCTCCAGATAGCCACATGCTGGTATAATCTCCTTGGCTCTCCTCCCCATTTCCTTTGAGGAAAGCATCTTGCAAAACCTGTCTGTTTAGTTATTTCTCTACCAAACTCCCATAGGAGCAGGTAGTGTTATCTCTCTTAGTACTTTCCATGTTGTGACAGAATTTTTTTACGCGTATCTCTTCAAGCTATCCCAGTGCTGGGCACATAGTTTTCTTGGTGCATAGTTTACTCAACAAGTGAATATCATTATTTTTATATCTGTAGTTCTTTAGAAACTGTTGCTGTTTCTCATTCCCATGTGTGTGTGTGTGGGAGGGGGTGTTTGTTTTTGATGGTCCTCTTTGCAGATAACACTGTGAACCCTAAAACAGGCATGGGGAGCAACTTGCAGGTGTATTTTTTTTAACAAAGCTGACATACTTTTTCCTTCAAGATCTTGCAGCTGAATGTGGAATGATCCTGAAATTAAGGTCAGCTCCAGCTAGTTGTTTATATCAGATGTCAGATTGCAGAATAAAAAATGGCTTTTATATGTTTGATTTTCATTGTTTTCCAGGGCAATGTCACTTTTTCCTGCTCCGAACCACAAATTGTTCCCATCACATTTGTCAACTCCAGCAGCAGTTATTTGCTGCTGCCCGGAACCCCCCAAATTGATGGGCTCTCAGTGAGTTTCCAGTTTCGAACATGGAACAAGGATGGTCTGCTTCTGTCCACAGAGCTGTCTAAGGGCTCGGGGACCCTGCTGTTGAGCCTGGAGGGTGGAACCCTGAGACTTTTGATTCAGAAAGTGACAGAATACGCTGCTGAAATCCTCACAGGTACAGTCTGCAGACACCTAGGTCACTGTCTTGTTTGACCAAGCCAACAAATGTTTGATATTCTAGCCAAAACAGATAGGGAGTGAGGTGACCCATAGCCACAAATTTACTCTTGTAGGCAGCCTTTTATTTATCTGTTTATTATTTTCTTATTAAATAAGACAGGAAATAAAGGTTTGGTATGCAGCCTTTGGCAGAGACCTGAATTTCCTTGGTTCTCAGATGTCTCGTGGGAAAAGGGGGAATAAGAATTTCTTTGTAGTATTGTTTAGCATCATATAAAGCTACAGGGTACCTTGCTGAGTTCTCTTTCGATGTGGATGGACCCTCCAACATGCCATACACAGAAGACATTTTCTACTTATTAATGAGGATGATTATGAAGCTAAATAAATTCTGAAATCACATGATAATATAAACACCATAATTTATAGAGAATTTGTCTGACTTCAAAGTCTGTAGTTTCCATATACACCACACTACCCTGCGGACTTTTTACAGTCCCCAAATTCTATTTCAAGTGAAAATTACTGAGCTTTAGAACATACTTTAAAGATTATCTATTAAGTAAATGTGAGTACCTGTGACATCTGGGTATGGCCAAACTTTTATTTGATTTTTCTTTCTTTTTCTTTTTTTTAAAAGCTGCTTTATTAAAGTATAAATTCAGAGACCATACAATGCTATTTAAAGTATACCATTCATCTGCAGTGGTTTTTGGCACCTCATTTTGTTAATTCTTTTTAAACTGATAATAATATGTGTGTGTGACAGAGGGTTTGCAATTTTAATCTTTCTTTTTTGGTTCCTAAATTGTATTTCTTTTTGAGGTAACATCGATTCACAATACTCTATATGATTTAGGGGGAAAGGTTCACACCTCCTTAGATGAATGTCACTGTACCACACCCACTGATAAAACACCCATAGTTTTTTACCACAAACCACTGGACTCCCTCCTTCTTTGTTACCAGCCCCTTTACTAATCTTAAAAATGGTGTTCAAATAGCTGAGTTTAGGCAAGTTCTTCTTTTTATAGCAATACAGTATGGATTCTCACATGCAGCAGGATGGAGCAGATCTGTGCACACATCTTGCTTTTCAATATTTAGGCTCATCCATCTGCTGTTTCTTCAATTTGGAAGGGCGGAGCTGTCATCCTCCTTCTCCGTTTGTTATCTTACAAAATGTCTCCTGTTCTTCCATAAGTAGTATATTCACTTAGTTGACAAGTACTCACTGAGGTCAGATGCTGACCATGAACCTGACCAATGTCATGACTGACAGTGGCATGCTGCTCATCCACGGATCCTTTCAGAATCCTCCTGGCCCTATCGTCTGAATCAATTCTCCCTTCTCTGTGCGCCAAGGGTTATTCATCCTGGATGTCACTACATTGCATTTCTCTTCAACTTAAGTCCTCAAACCCCACTGGACTATGAGTTTCTTCATTCAAATAAGTTAGATAAAACTGTGTTAGATAAAACTGTGTAAAGGACGTGGGCTGATAGATCATATTAGACTATGCAAAAAATCTCAGTCCCAGTAAGTGAACAAAAAGCCACTGAATCCCTGGGAATAGTAGGGGGTCCATGTCTTCCAGTCAGAGAGGTTCAAAAGGTAACCTCTTCTTACAGATTTCTGAGCTTGCATAAACTCTCTAACTTTGTGTCTATGTAAATGAAAATATATGAGTTACCTATAGCTATGTAACAAATCATACCTAATTTAAGTGGTTGGAAACAACATTTGTTACACCTCAGTTTTCATGGGTCTGGAGCCCAGGGATACCTTGGCTGGGTTTTTTTTAACTCAAGGTCTCAGAAAACTGAAATTAACTCACTGGCAGGGGTTACAGTCATCTCAAAAGTTCAACTAGAGGACCTCCCTGGTGACGTAGTGGGTTGAGCACAGTGCTGTGAAGTTCTGCAGCCTCTGCAGTGCAGGTTGTATCACTGCCAGCCCGGGAGATACCCACATGGTGCTGCAGACCTCTCCTGTCTCGCCCGCTGCTCCCCTCAGCAGTGTATTTTGGTCCTTCTGCCTGTTCTGCTCCCTGCTCTGTCTCTGGTGAATTCTCTCACCCTCCCTCCCCTCTGGCTTCTACCCCAGTGCTTGTATAAATAAATAAATCTCTAAAAAAAAAAAAAAGTTCAACTGGAGGTATATATCTGCCTCCAACCTAAATCCAATAGTTATTGACAGGCCCCAGAAAATCCACTTCCAACAACCTTATTCCCATGATTTCTTCAGAAAGCCTGTTCATGCAATGCACTCTTCTCCTGCAGAGTGAGTGCTCCAAGGGGGTGATCTCCAGTACACAGGACAAAAGCCACAGTTGTTGTCTAACCCAATACCAGAAGTGCCATCCCATATTATTTTGCCATGTTATGTTCACTACAAGCAAGTGAATAAGTTCATTCCATACTCAAGTCAAGTAGACTACATAAGGGTGTCACTCTTTGGAGATCCGGTTCTTTGGGGATGAACTCAGAGTTTGTCAATAACATGAGATGAAAACAATCTTTTACAACATAAGACTGATGGCATTTAATGAGCTAAAATGTCTAAAATTCTTAGTGCCTATGAGAAACTACCTTTACCTCCACAGTGACTCGAAAACCTATAGATAGAAGGAGATACACTCAACAGAGTGCAAAAAGCTAAAGGAATTTGTGCCATCACAGGACTTCTACAAAATTTATAAGATTTCCAATAATGGAGGTGAGGTAATCACTTAGAAACATGATAGTTTTCATATCTAGAGTTGGAAAGTTAAACCTCAATCCTCCTTAGTTGAAGAAGAAAAACATGAGGTGGCACTGGGCTGTTTCTCTCTAATCAGTGAGATGTTGAAGCACAGAGACATGTAGGCCTTGGGTCAAAAATGCAGGTTTAATACAGTACAGGTGCTGGCGGCACTTCTCTCTAAAGCGTACAGGTGCTGCCTGTATTATTAAGCACAATGTCAGTCCATTAAAGCATGTTTATGACTGAGGGAGAGACTGGTAAAAGCTGCAGTTTACCAAATACAGTAAGGGAGGAAATCGCCACTTATTTCAGACCTGTCTCTGAGAAAATGAAACAAGTAAAGGGAAGTTTTAAAAATGTGTTGAGTTCCTGAAGTCTGTCCCAGAAAACTCTTGCACCATTGCTTTCCCAAAGAAGAATTTCTTGAATTTTTGGGAAATAAGAACGTCTTTCATTTTTCTTTGAAATGGATTGAGCTTTTGCATCTGCTGGCATTTTTCTATCTGAGCAGAGAGCAAACAAACACAAACTCAAACAAAAGACAATTTTTCTCTTCCTTCAGATTTCTGAAGATACTTTTCAGCTTACCTGAGATCATCATGTTTTTATAAGAGATATAAATCCTATATGAAAAACCAGAAAGTAATAACCATTGTACCAATAATTTGTGAGGGCCAGTGTGGCTACCCTTGACACATGGTGCATCACAGAAAACAGCATCATATTTTATTGATGGGCCAGGAAATGCAAACGTTTACAGGTTTTGTTGAGGCTAGTTCAGGTGTTTCTAACACTTGAAGTCTATAGAAGATGAAATCCATGGGTAGGCAGGCACGTAGATGCTTCACACTCACTCCTGCCCCAAAGTTCCATTTCTGGTGCATGTGCTATTGCTAGGGGGGCTGGGGTGTTGGGCTTTTAGCATTGGAAATAAGGGACAGAAGTGTAAACTAAATGCATTCTCAAAATAGAAGCCAGCTGAATTTAGTTGTAAGGGGTGAGGTTTCAGAATGATGAGGACTGAAGTTTAATCCTCCCTTGTCTTGTTCTTTATTTTCTATACTTACTGCATCCGTTCTGGAAAAGTTGGATATATGCAGATAAGAGGAAAAGTGGACACCACTTTACTATAAGTGATGTAAAGGTGACTGTGCTAGATCCCTGTCATGTAATGCTCCGAAAACTGCTTCATAAAACTTATGAAGTTTTTACTATTGTGATAACACATAGGAGGAAACTGAGAATTAGAAATTAATTGATTATTACACCAGGGTAATAATCATACTCAGGTCCTTCCTTTGGATTCCCAAGTTCTTGGTTTTTACACTCTCACTGCCTCCCATATTTGTTTTTTATAATGTCAGTTTCAGTAATTCATATGTAAAGAAATTCTACCTTAGATGACAAATCTACAAATAAATAATAGAATGATTAAGAAAAACAAGTTATTTAGAATGTAAATTTGGGTCTTTTGAAAACATTTTACTTAATAATCTTGTTAGCTTTTTGGGTTATTTGGGATTGGCAAAAGATAGTAAATTTATTGTCTTCATACACTTATAGTCTACTGAAACTAGAGTCCTCGGTATAATATAAATTATAGTTATTATACTGCTATAAATAAATCACATCTATAAAGTAGACACCCTTATTCATGGAGGATATGTTCGAAGACCCCCAAGGTTGCCAGAAACTATGGGTAATACCAAACCTATATACTGCTATTATATTTGCACAGAAACATAGCTCCAATAAAGTTTAATTTATAAATTAAACATAAGAGAGCATCAACAGTAACTAATAATAAAATAGAACAAAAATAAATACTGACATAAAAGTTACATGAATATACTCTCTCTCCCTTCCCCCTACCTCCCAAGTATCTCAATGAAAGTAATATTTTTGGATTTGGTAACTCAACCCACAGAAAAGAATGAAACTTTTAATAAGATGGGACTGCTATATATGGACAAGGCCAGACACACATACACACACACTCCAATATTCATTAAGTATATATGATATACTTTCTTCAGATCTTTTAAAATTCTTAGTGGTGATTACTCAGTAGGCTTATCATTTAAGGACTAAGTGTACTAAGTGACATGAGGTTGCAGTAAGAGTTCATATGCTTCCAAAACCTTTGTCCTGTATGACACAGGTTTGTCCATCCTAGTCACCCTTTCTCACCAAACCTTACTTGAGACTCCGGGGGCTGTGCAGAGGTGACTGTGCATGGAAACTTGCCA